TACATCTCTAGTTCTACAGCCTCTTCTAAGCCCAGCTGGCACATCTGGCAGTTCTCTGTTGATGTGCTGTTCCAGTCATTTTTGGATAATTTTCAGCAGAATCTTGCATGTGATATTAATGATATTGTTTGATAATTTCTGCACTCTGTCGGGTCACTTTTCTTTAGAATGAGAACAAATATGGACCTGTTCCAGTCAGTTGGCCAGGTGATTGTCCTCCAGATTTCTTGGCACAACTTGGTAAGTGCATCCAGGGCAGTGTCTGTTTGTTGAAATATGTCAATTGGTATGCCATCAATTCCTGGGACCTTGTTTTTTGCCAATTCCTTCACAGCTGCTTGAACTTCTTCCCTCATTACCACCAGCTTTTGATCATACATTGTTTCATGAAATTCTTCTGTGTTTGCCAATTTCTTTTGGTACAGTGACATTCTGTATACTCATGTTTTTAAATAAAATTTTTATATTACTTTGTACAAAGCTTGTATACATTGTTTTTCACATTAAATCTTTATCATTTCCTTTACCCACTCCTCACTTCACCCATCAAATTGTGCAATGCTTTGATTAACCACCACCACCCCAGCCCACCCTCACCCTCTGCTCTCACCCTCCCCCCTTGGATCCTCATACACTTTCTACTATAATTGTTGTATACATTAGTTATGTTTATGGGACTGAGTTCACTTAGCATAATGTTCTCCAGTAGCTCCCAAGTTAGGTAATGGTTTATAAAATCATTGCTCCTGAATGTTGCATAGTACCATAATTTCTCAATCCATTTGATTGTGGTTGGACATTTGGGTTGCTTCCATGTTCTTTTGATGGAGAATAACGCTGTTATGAACATTGGGGTGCAAGTCTCCATTTGTGCTTCAGTCTTCTTTTTTTTTAATGATTAATTTTAATGAACTTTACAGAGACTTTGGATTTCCATTCATTCATTGTTGCACTTTTCTCCCTGCCCACCCCTCCCCCCAAAGTTTGCTCTTCGTTTTGAAAAGTAAAAGAAAAATTCTTTCATTGTTATACAATCCCTCCCCGCCAAAGTCCACTCCACTATGCAGCCTTTGTTCTGGACTCCTGTCATGACAATAATACCTAATCTTATATGCCTTTTAAACAGTTCTCTCCCTCATCTACTTCAATGCAGTATACATAATTTATCTCATCTTTCTCAGTCTCTCCACAACCCCAATGTCAGTCCTGTTTTACAACAGCGGCACTATGCAGTATTTGTCCTTTTGTGACTGAGATATTTCACTCAGCATAAAGTCCTCCATGGTCACCCATTTTGTACAATATTTCTTGAGTTCCTTGTTTTCAATGCAGTGTAGTATTCCATTGTGTGAAAATACCACAGCTTCTCTATCCATTTGTTTAATAGACATTTGGGTTGTTTCCAACTGTATACTCTTTACATCTTCTTTTAATGCTTTTTTGATCATTTAATATTCTTCCCAAAGCATCCTTAAGTATTACAACTTAATGCTTGAATTTGCTCTTCAATTCAGTCAGCTTAAAGGAATGCTGAGCGAATTCAGCCCTTTTGATTTTCTGAATCCAGCTCTTTGCACATTTCATTATAATACTTTGTCTTCCTCTGGTGCCCTTTGAAATCTTCTCTTCAGCTCTTAATTTCTTGATTTCTTCCCTTTGCTTTGGCTTCTCAGCACTCTAGAGCAATATTCATAGTCTTATCTGATACTATCTTAGTCTTTTCTTCCTCTGTCTTTGTAATCATCTTTTGCATTCTTTGTGGATGATATTCTTGATATCCATCCTTCTACAGCTCATCTGGTCTTTGCTCATTAGTGCTCAAGGTCTCAAACCTGTTCCTGAGATGGTTTTGAAATTCAAGTGGGATAGACGCAAGGTCAAATTTTGGTTCCTATCGATTTAATGGAATTTTCTTTAGCTTCAGCTTGAACTTGCATATGAGTAGTTGGTGGTCTGTTCCACAATCAGCACCGGCCTGGTTTTCACAGCTGACATTGAGCTTCTTTAGTGATTCTTTCCATGGATGTAATTGATCTGATTCCTATGCACACCATTACGTGAAGTCCATGTGTATAGTCTGTGTTTATGTTTCTTTAAAAAAATTATTTGCAAAGTATAAATCACTGATTATATACAATTCAATTATTCTATCTCTAGCTTCATTTTTGTCACCAAGTCTATGATATCCAACTACTGATCCTTCTTTTCTGTTCCCAACTTTTGCATTCCAGTCACCCATTATTATTAATGCATCCTGATTGAATGTTACATTCTGGAAATCCAAAATGTCAATTAAAAAATTCTGTCTTGAAAGGGATAGAGAAAAGCTTAATATGTTTAGAAGCATGCCTGACACGAGGCAAAAATTCCAAATGCTTTTGTTGTTGTTGCTTTTAGAAACATTTATTATTTATTGGTACTACTAGGCTGTAGGGAGCTCTGGGCAGTAAGGAGCTGCACTGCTCACAGAAAGGCAGGTGGTCAGCTGCAGCTCAGGAGATGGGCAGCCTCTTCCCATGCTGTGGCAACGGGAAGGTCAGCTATGAGTCAGTTCTGACCCAATGACAAGTGAGTTAGTCACTAAGTGCAAGAAACCCAAGTGGCATGACAGCTAACATGCTAAGCTACTAACTGTAAAGTTGGTGGTTTGAACCCACCAGCTTCTCTGATTAAAAAGGGGCCATTTTCTTCCATAAAGATTTCCCCTTCTCTCACTTTATCATTGCTGTTGAATAGGACCTGACTCATAGCTGACCCTGCACTGGGTTTCTGAGGTGTAAATCACATGGGAAGAGACTGCCCATTTTTCTCTTGTTGAACTGTTGGTGGATCTGAGCTACCTACCATCCGTCTGTCTATGGATCACGTCACCAGAGCTCCCTCTTGTTAGGACCACAGCCCTGCAAACCCTGTGGAACAATCTAACTTTTTTTCCCCTTATTGTGATGAGTGAAAGTTTGCAAAATATTGTTTACTCTACCAACAATTTACACATAACGTTTTCTAAAATATCCACAGTATCCGATTGTCTATTCAGTCTGTACTGTCTGTCCCTTCACTCATCTAAATATCTATGAATTCATTTTGTATTCTTCCCTTCCCTTCCCTTCCCTTCCCTTCCCTTCCCTCCCCAGTAACCATACTAGAATGATTCTGTGTGCAAAACTTTATTTGGCATTTTATGATATTTGTGATATTTGTCTTGTGCAACATTTGTCCTTTTGTGACTGACAAATTTCACTCAGCACAGCATCCTCTAGATTCATCAGTGTTGTGCAGTGTTTCATGAATTCTTCATTGCTTTCTGTGTTTCGTAGTACTCCATGTGAATGTACCATATGTTTTCTTATCCACTTACTCGTTGGTGGTACCTGGGTTGTTTCCAACTCTTTGCTACTGTAAATAATGCTGCAATAAATATGGGTGTACATATATCAGTCATAACTGGAGGGTAAAGGTGTTACTAGCACCTTGTGAATACCCTTCTATGCACAGGACAGCTTTGATAGTGAAATAGTACTAGGCCTAATGCTGACAGTGCTGATGCTGAGTTCAGATCCAAATTCTGATAGTAGCCCACCACTGATTTAAAAGTAGTCCACTATCTTTAAAATCAGTCTTCAAAAAAACTGACATGATCCCCTACATTGCCTAGAAAATAGTGGCTCACTTCTGACAGGCTCTCGCCTCAGTTTCCCATCTGGTTTCCTCCCCATGTTGTAATTTCCCCATAAAAGCAGTTCCCCTGGACACACTAGATCTAGAACAACCACTAATGTGTTCTCCACCTGCTCAACACCCGATGTCAGTAGGAGCCTAATCCAGTTCTCGCTACCTCTGAAAAGCTCTCCTTCAGTGTCTTAAAGGAAGTCTTTCTTTCCACACCTAACTGACCATGGCCACCACCAGTGGCTCTTCAAGGATGTGTGATTCCTTGTTTCTACTGCAGGAGATTCTGTGTCCATAGGCTGGAGAGGGACACAGGCATAACCCGGGAGGTTGATGCTCAGCCAGCCTTGGACCGCATCATGCCTGCACCTGAATCTGTATTTGTATGTTGCTCCTTATTCTGTCGCCATTTATTTACACAAATTCTTTGCATATACTTTCAGCTTCCCCCCTCCCCCCCATCTAGATTAGAAAGATTCTGGCTACTTAAAAGGACCTCTTACAGTACTGTGCCCTCTAGAATTCTGCTACTCTAGGGATTTTCTGAGTTTAGGGAACTGAGACCCACACTTGTTAGAATGCTGATCTGATCCCAGATTCCTACCCCTGGGGGGCTGTCCCAATGAATATGAGCTGGGACCCTGGACACTATCTTTTTAACCAGTTGGTTTTGTTTGTTTGTTTTTTTCAAGGTCTTAGCATCTTTATAATTTCTAAAGAATTTATTTTTGCTTGTTGTTAAAAAATGTAAAACAGAATATACACTAATTCAACAGTTTCTATTTATACAATTCAGTGACACTGCTAACATGCCAAGTTGTGAAACTTATCTCATCCTCTTTCTTGAGCTGTTCCGCCTTTACAAACACAAACTCATTGCCCCCTAAACTTCTTCTCTAACTTTTTACCATCACATTGCTGTTTTCAATTTGATCTCACACAGAACTTTAAAAGAGTTTACTGTTCAGGGCAGACATTCTTTACTTAATTGAGCTAGATTATATCTTGGTTTAAAGAAGATTTCAGGGATATTTTTGGCTTAGGGCTTATATTATTTGAGGGCAGCAGTTTTAGGGAATTCATCAAGCATCCATGGCTCCAGAAAGTGTAGATTACAAAAGAATTTTAAATTCTGTTCCATTTTGATCAGGATCTGTCCAATAGATTCTTTGATCAAGACAAGCAATAATTAAGCAGTAGGTTTTGAAGCAGGTGTCTCCTGGGATGTTGTTCTGACCCTTCAACATGGCAGCACCAGACTTAGGGAGGTAAAGGCTTTCTTAAGTGGTTGCTGGGTTATCCCTACCCCCAGGGGACCAGGGAACACTTACACACATGCTGGTTTGTCCTCCTGCACCAAAAACCTGCAGGTTCCATGGAAGCAGAACTGGCTGTGGGAATCTGGGCAGTCATTAAAATGGGACACCACAGCGGCAGCCACAGGAGGGTCTGCTGGGGAGAGAAGAGGCATTGGGCTCAGATCACAGCATAGCTGACAGAGGTGGCCACACACCCGCTCCTGTTTTCAGACTGTGCACTTACACACACATCCACACACCACCCACACAAACACTCCCTCCCCCTTCTAGCTCTTATTCACTTGCTAATAGCTAGCCCAAGACCAGGGGCTCCCATGTCCTGTGCTTTCCAGCAAAGTGTCTTTTTTTTTTTTTTTAGTGTTGTTGGGAAGAAAACCAAACAAATTCTTCCAAAGGTTTGGATCAATTGAAAGACAACAGAGTAATTGCACTACTCAGGTCTATGATCCCAGAACTCTCATTCTGCCTTTACAAAATTCTAGTAGTGATTTTTAAAGTTAAATCCCTCGCCTCCCTCCACTCCCCATGCAAGAAACCAGAAAGAAGATACAGAAATGTATTATAGAACCATTCTGTTGATGCTGAGGAAGATTAAATGATGCTCATGGTATATTTTAAGGGAAATAGTGGCTTTATAATATGCTCTATATGATATTGTTGTGCACCTGACCCTCCAGGGGCTTTTCAGAGGAGATTTCTCATCCTTCCCCCACAGCACTGCTGGTGGATTCAAACCACGTATCTTTGAATTGGAAGCACAATCCCTTATTACTAAACCACCAGAGCTCCTCATAATATCTGAAGAGGTTTGGTCCAAGCTCATAAGAACTATGGATGCTGGAGCCATGAGTATAAATTGACTTGAAAAAGAAAAACAAAGCCAGAAGTTTGGACACTAAAAAGTCCATTACTGAATAGTAAGTAGGGCTTTTCCAGGGGGCAGAATAAGGAGAGTTAGTGCTATAAAGACTATAAAAATCAAAACCCAGCTAGATGGACACAGAAGAGCCCATACTGAGGGGAGAGACGGCAGAGTCAGGGGACAGGCGGGTCCTTCTCTAGCACTCACAACTCTTACGAGCTTGTGCTGATCAACCAAGCCTCTTCAGGGTTTCCCCCCTTTGCTTTCAGGCAAGAATTAAAAAAAGGCAGTCTACTTTGGAGCACTGTGAGGAACAGGCATGCCTACAGACCTGCCAACCAGCATAAAGGCATCATTTTTGATATAATTTATTTGAGTTCAGTACCTTGCTTTGTCTAAAAAATGACCAAGAAGCTTTGGAGGTAACTATTTTAAGATGGCACAACAGATGTTATTTCTATGAAAAAAAAAATCTCAACTCTTTGCTACTGAGTCAGAACCAACTCACAGCTCCCTCTACTGGGGTTCTGTTAATGTGGCTCTGAGTTGGAACCCACCCCCAGGTGACCCTGCGGTGAGTTCCCGTGGAGAGCGCCCCCTCATCCCTCTGCTTCCCCAGAGCAGCTGGGAGATGTGAGCCACCAGAGAGGAGCCACCTCTGAGTTAGTACCTAATTCTCCACAACAAAACCAAGACAGCTCACAATTCTTTCACCTTCTCTCTCCCTGTGCTGTGGATATTCAAGGGAGCAAGTCTTTACTACTTTTTTGGGAGGGGGTGTGGTGTGCGGGAAGAGACCTAGGAATTCTTACTCTTTCAGAAAAAGAAGAACGTTTCGTATTGTGGAGTTTTAGACCTCAGCAAAATATTGACCTCACATTGACATCTCCATGACTTCTGGAAATGTCGTAAGTTTGGAGATCTTATAATCTAATGGGAAAAGCAGAAGATAAAATGTAAGAGACTCGCTGACACAGAAGTTTGAGGGCATGTGCTCTGTCAGACAGGGCCTTGAACAACCTTGCCTTGAGCATGAAGGACTGACCTCTGCTAGCTTGCTTCCAAAGGTACGTAGGAATTCCATCTGCTTATGCTTACTCCAAGGGTCCCTAGTGGAAGAAGGAATTACATACTGGACTGCTAATCAAAAGGTCAGTAGTTCAACTCTCAGGCTCTCTGCTGAAGAAAGACTATTTCTTTCCATAAAGATTCACACCTTGGAAACCTGACTGTGGTGGATACGCTTAGAAAGGGACAGAGTGGGAGTCCGATGGTAGCATTCTTGTCTTCCATGTGAGGGATCTGGGTTAGACTGTTGGTTAGTATGTCCACTGAGGCTTGCTCTATGCTGACAGCTTTCAGTGGCTCCAGCAGACTGGGAATAAAGGCCTAACAGTCTAATTCAGAACACCAGTCAATGGTAACCTTAGGGATCCCAGCGTCCAATTGCAACGAGCTGGAGCAGACTCAATGGTTAATGACACAATGGGTGGTTCTAAGGGTAGAAGTAAAGTTGTACTTTATTCAACAAGTTGTCGGCTGTTGGCTCTTCTGTTATCACCACTGATAAACTTATTATACCAATGAGCCCCACATATGACAAGATCATTACATATGTATACACATAATCTTCCCTTCCTCACACAGCCAGTAACCTGTAACTAAGAGTTTTGGCTCCTCCTTCAGATGGTTACTTTCACTTGCATGGACAAGCAGAGAAGCAGACCCAGGACTGCGGGATTCCCTGCTGGGTGGCAGCCTCTGGGAGGGATGAGTGTTCGCTGGTTAGTTACTGCGGGCCCAATGAACAGACTCAGTCCCTCGTGAACCGAGGGCTTTAAAGGAGCAGGACTACTGCAGTGCATATGCTCTTTGCTCACTATATTCATCAAGGAGCAAACACCCAGAGGTGGAGGACAGAGGACTGGTCATCAAATTCGATTTAGACATTAAAAAAGATGCTGATTATTTCCACAAGAGGTCATTCACAGAACTGCCTCCAAGCAGGCAGAGGCAGTCTCTTGTTAAGACATGCAGCTGCGTACTCAACATGTTGATGGTTTATTCATTTTGCTAAGATTCATTCCGCTGAATCTTTCAATTAGTCTAACAAGTTCTCTTTCTGAATCTCTGGGATTTTGTAGAACCAGGTCAGCCCAGATAATCAGAACAATTCCTACTGACAGTCCCAGAAGTTCCATCAAGGTTTTGGCAAAAAGAAAAGAATTTTGGGGAGGGATGGAGAAGGGAAAGCAGGGAAGGGTTACCTTCTATTCAGCAGTTGCTCTGTGGTGGTCCTATGGTGGTATGGTCCTGGGGCAGTGCACTTGGCTACTAATCTAAAGGTTAGCAGTTTGAACCCACCCAGGAGCTCCACATAAGAAAATCCTGGCAATCGTTCCTAACAGTTACAAACCAAGAAAACCCTCTATAGCAGTTCTACTCTGTTAACACATGGGGGCCACGGAGGGTTGGAACAGACTCGATGGCTACAGCTTGTCTTAGTTTTTGTGTGTATTGTGCCAAGTGCTTCTGCCACACCATCTCACCAACAGAGGCAGGGGCGTGGTCACAACAGATGAAGAGGCACTGCTTTCTGGCTCCAGAATTTACTCAAGAACCAAAAAGCACTACTCCTTTATTAGAGCAAAGAAGTGACTTCAATTGATAAAAATGAGTGTTAACCCCCACCCCCAACTTCCACCATATTGCTAAAGAAGACATTTCTTGGCGTCTCTCTACACTTCTCTGTTCTCCTTCCTCCACTCTCTCCCCTTTTCCCTCTTCCTTTTTCTTTCCTTCTTTGAGAACACAAGGAAATATAAAGGGGAGGAAAGAAGAGAGGGAAAGGCCTAGATAATTTAAACAGGTAAAAAAACCCCACAAAAGCACCTTAGAAAAGCAGGCAGGTGGGGTGGGAGAGGAAGGCATTCACCGCCATGTCTCTGCCAGGCTTTGTGACTGATTAGCACTTACGACTTATAAACAAGACAAGCAAATGTTCCGGTTTTCAGAACAGATTTCATACCAATCCTATCGGCAGCTGGAGTTTCAAAGCTGCTCAGTTTCTATTCCTGTGAAATTTATGAGCAGCTCCTCCAACCTGTTAACCAAACACACATCCTGCAGACACCACTTTTCTCCTGGGAAGCTGCAAAAGCTTTGCCCAGAGACCACAGATCCACAAATGAGACCTGAAGCCTAGTCTTGCTCTCAGGATAGTAATCGAGAGGCAAGACCATCACACAGTTCTGACTCACACCAGGGGCTTCTCCAGGTCCAGAAGCCAGAGGCAGCCATCTGCACAGCTCCTCCCAACAATCTGACTCCTGTGGAGCAGTGTCCACACCCTCCGGGACCACCACCACCTCCCCCTTAAAAATAGCTCTGATTGGACTTTCTGCTGATCGGCCAGTGGGAGCTGGTGGGGTGGAGGCTCTTCTTACGTTTCTCCAGATGGGAAAAGTTATGAACAAGTTAGTAGTTGAAAAAGCTGACATCATTTATAACTGTTTCATGACTTCCTCAAATTTAATAATGTCTGGTTTTTCAGCAGAAACTTTCTGCTGAAGGATTTTGACTTAGGGTTAAGTATTTTCTCTTCAGACATGCCAAAGGCTAAGGCAACTGATATTTCTTGAGTGTTAGGAGAAAAAGCAGTAGAATAATCTAATCCAGGTGAAAGTGAGCAAGTTGTGCCTGGTGAAGCTCAGCAACCAGTTGCCATTGAGTTGACCATGGAAGGCAACTCCACGCGTGTCAGAGCAGAAATGTACCCCACAGGACTGTCAATGGCTAATTTTTTCCAGCAGATTGCCAGGCCTTTCTTCCTAGCTGCTTCTGGGTGGACAAGACCTCCAACCTTTCAGTAAGTAGTTGAGTGCTTTGACTGTTCGTACCACCCAGGCACTCCACAAGGAAGCTAGAGGGGTAGGTACATCCATCCAACAGCCACACTATGATACCCATGAGGCCTCAATCTCCATGTTAACCCCAGGTGGCTGTGTGTTACCCAACATGCCAAATTTACAGGGGTGGAACTCCCAACTCTCACCAAGCAACATGTGTGAGTCAAAGGCTGCCAGGAAAGCTCACCCCTGGGGTTTCAAAACCGCCAAGCCAGGGCTTAGAGGAATGAGTGATGTGGAGCCCAGGTACGATTCAGAAAGACACCAGTGAGGAGGGGCTCTGTTCTCCTGTGCATTGGGGGGAAAGGTGCTGAAAAGCACTACAGGTAGGATGTTTAGAAATTCTCCTTGTTACAGATTAAATAGTATCTCCCATCCCAAA